AGGCTGGGCATTCATAAGTAAGAAAAGCTCTCAGTCCATTTATTTGGGAGCTGGGCCAAGAGTTAAAAAAAAAATCAGATCAACAAATGTAAAATTCTAGGAAGACTCCAAACAAATCTCAAGAGCGATTTTAAGGTCTCAATGCTAATTTTAATTTTAACTTGAAACTTTTAGAGATGCTGAGAAGTCCTAAGCAATGTCAGGGATCTGCAACTGTAGAGAAGCTGGAAACCTGAGGCCTAAAAAACAGTTCTCATGGCTTGAAGTTCTAAAAGGAAGAGAACTTGAAAGCACAGTCTAAAGAGTAAGTGCTTTCCTGGCACTGTTCTGGGAAATCAGGGAGCCCATCCAGAAATCCCTGTGAAGCCCCACTCCCACACTCCCAGCAGCCACGCCCCTCCTCCCCAGGCCAACAGAAAGGTGTGCCACTGCCTGTTCTTCCACGGGGTAACTCCACTCTCCACTGCCACCCTGCAACCTCCCCACAGTTCTCCCAAGACTCTAAGGACTTTCATGAACTCCATCATTTTCTTTCCTCCACAACAAGGTGTCAGCTTGACACAGCTGTGTGGAAGCCCAGAGGTGAGTGGAGCAATAGTTTCCAGAATGATCTAGCCAATCCTCATCCCCTACAGACACACACACACACACACACACACACACACACACACACACACACACACACACACACACACGCTCCTAGACTTGCAAAAAGGGGCTGTAGGTGGGACCCAGTGAAGGAGGAATTCATTGTCCAGCCCACAGAACTTTCTATACTGCTCCTTTCTAGATATACACTGGACACAGGAAGGAATTGAACCACGGGGTGGTGCTCTGATTTTTCTACCTCCCAACTACACAGGAGCCCTAGCAGACCTATGCTCTGGGCAGAAGTGGACTGTAGGCATTAGGAAGAGAGGATGGTATCTAGAAAACACCAAATCTGCCACACAGTAAATCCAAAAATCAAGACTTCCTACTTAGATGCACACCCTGCTTTTCTCTATCCGCTAGAAGCAGACTACAACACTAAGACAACACATTCACAGGCAAGCTACTTGAAATCTCAGAAACACAAGATGAACAAACAACTAATGTCCCCTCAAACCCAGAAAAATGAGTATAAGAAGAATCATGATCACAAAGCAGAAGAATAAACACCCAGATAAATCCACTTTAAATCCACTTAACGGAGAAGTGAAAACACAGCACAACTGAGTGACACAGAACCAGTGACGAGAAACAAAACCAGTCTCACACCAGACACCCAGCTGGCCACTTTGGTAGCAAAAGGATGGCAGAAAACATCTAGAAGGAGGAAAATTAATGAGAATGTGTTTCCATATCCAGTAAGAGTATCACTGTGAATACATTTTAGGTAGAAAAAGACATGGAGAACCATTCACAATCCCCCATGGAAGGATCGTGAAGAGAAAAGAAACAGAAAAGTAATTGTCTAAGTAAAGGACGGGGAAGTCAAGACATTTGTAAAAATAAGTAAAAGTGACATTAAACCAACGGAAGCAACTCCAAATTCCACTACTAAAGCTTCTTAGCTGAAGGGAGAGAAATAACATATAATGAGTAGTAACTCTGGGCACTGAGCGTAAAAGCCAATGAAGAAGAAACAAACAGCCAGGAAAAGAAACCTGGGTAGCCCAAGTCGGGCTGTGGTGGCGCACACCTTTAGTCCCAGAACTTAGGAGGCAGAGTGAGTTTGGTCTACAAAGTTACACAGAGAAACCCTGACTCAAAAAAAAAAAAAAAAAAAAGAAAAGAAAAGAAAAGAAAAAGAAACCAACCTAAGTAACCTAACAAAATGAGGAAAGATGATATATAAGAGAACAATTTTTTTAAAAAAGTAAATTCAAATATTCCAGCAATACAGACTAAATTCCCCTCCTTAAAACAGACTCGGATTATATGCAAAAATAAAAGCTATATGTTACTAAACTCCAATAACTAAAGTACAGATAACAGAACTGAGGTATAGCTGAATGTCCACACAAACAAGTTGTTTTTATATTACAAAGCTGTAGCTCATCATGGGAAATAAAATTACAACCCGCACTTCACACGGCTTAAAAACACAAAGCCAAGCTGGTCATAGCAGAGCTCACAGATCAGAGTGGCAACAGCATCATTCCTTTGGGAGAGACAGAGGCTACAAAGGAACATCACACAGTGAACGACTCATATATAAAGCTCTTCAAGCACCCAAAACACAAACACTTTCATCACACAGGGAACACTCAAGTCATCATTGCAAAAATAGCTATGATCAAGCCAATGAGAAAAAAATCCAAAAGTATTCCCCAAAGCAAAACCCAATTGGATATATTCATTAACTTCAATGAACTAAAATTAGATATTAAAAACCAATAAGCTAAAAGACAACATTTATCCCTTTGAAATAAAAAAAAAATAACTCATTCTAAATGGCTTTAAAACACAACAGGAAACCAAACAGTGAAGTGAACAAAAACTCCACAGTGAGACGGTTGGGGGCAGAGGCTGCAGCAGAGGGAGGCACCAGCTTATGCACATTAGAAATGAAGGCACTAAGGTTTCCAAGACACTCAAGCTTAGGTCAAAGGTGTACTTAGTAACTAAAACCAAAACTTATTCCCTGAAGAATAAAATGACAGCAGAGCTAAACCTTAAGGCAAAGAAGTCATGTGCCATAAAGAACTGCATGGAGCCCATGTCTTCACCCAGCAACACCTGCCAATTTCACGGTGACGGGTTTGCCTATGTTCATTTTGCCAAAACATGACTAATTTTGGCAGATAGCATGTTAACAGAAAGAAAACTGTTGGTTCACTTATGAGAGCAATTTTGTATTTATCCCTACCACATTGCACAGGGCCAGTTAAAATCAACACGAATAACAAAGATAAAGAAGTAAACTATGAACAGCGCACACTGAACCAACACAAAGTAACCACCCACCTGCTTGGTCAAACTTCTCTTAAGTTTCATTATGCAATATGTAGGATAGGAGGAGGAGAAGGGAGAGGGGGAACAGGAGGAGGGGGAGAAGAAGAGAATACACAATGAAAAACCAGAGCATCAATGTAGAAATGACAAACAGGACAGAAACACAAAACTTCCTGTAAATAATCTCCACGTGTTCATTTTTGTGGGATATGCCCCGCCCCCGCCAGGCCACCACACTGTGCTTCAGACATATGCAGGGTTTGTGCTCTATGTGCTCCTTACCAATTTGCTTTCTGCCCTTACATACTCTTAGGAAATCCATCACTAGAGCATATGTGCTGCATTCTCACCAACCTGCACAATTCAACAGGAACACTGCACCATGTATTCATCAGTGATGTAATCATGTTCCTTGAGTGGGGTGGGGATGTGTTTGGGCCAGGCATGCACAAGGCTGTGTTCCAAAGCCTCCCCCTACCCCACCACAGAGCTTCTTTGTGTAGCCCTGGAAGTCCTGGGACTTGCTATGTAGACCAGAATGGCCTCAAACTCACAGAGATCTGCCTGCCTCTGCCTCCCCAGTGCAGGATTAAAGGTGTGTGCTGCCGCCACCAGCTGGCCAGTATTTTATACCCCTCTGTGTGTGAGTGTGCATCCTCTCTCTCTCTCTGTCTCTCTCTGTCTCTCTCTCTCTGTCTCTCTCATACACACACACACACACACACACACACACACACACACACACAAAACTAGCTACTTGGTCATATGATTTACACATCTTTCTTTACCAGGGTATTGCCAAACTGTCTTCTAAATTACATAACAGTCCCCGATTTTCACAACAGCTGGCTTGGTCTTACTTTAGGTGTAGAAAGCAGGAAGGTGTCTTACATATTTACACCCATGCCTAGACTGTCAACCCTGCTTTATTCTCTGATTTAAATGGCTTTACTCACCAAAATCTTTGGCTCAAATACTCTAACAAAAGGCTGCAGTGAAACCTGGTTGGCTCTGAAGGCAGAGGCCAACCACCATCCCTTCTTTGCCAGAACACAACAGTCTAACAGAACACTCAGTGTCTTGCCACAGTGAGTTAGTTCTATTGTGACGTCGGCAATCTAACATGTCAGCATGTTGTCATCATTTCCTCCTGTGTGCAGTTCACTGCACACTCTGCCTATGAAGTCTGGTGTCGTGTGCATGCAGTGTCAGAAGAAACTTCTTGGAGAGTAAATAAGATTTAAAACTTAAAGCTGATGGCACCTTCAGTTCAATAAATTCTTTCAAGTCAGAACAATTCTTGTATGGCCTTCACAACTGATACAGTCCCAAGGGCACAAAGCTGATCTAACGTGGAAAGCAGCACAGACAGGAAATGCTGCACAAAGGATGCTGGGAGAAGGCAAGGGCAGCCAGGAAAGGTGAGGGAACGCTGAGGGAACGCTGCTCCTATCCACGGCCCTCAACACAAGCGTGTGACGCAGCAGTTTCCTGCTCTGCCTTCCGTTTATGTGGCACTGGGGCAAAGTTCCCATCTGAACAATGAGAAAGCAAACAAAATGGTACAGGACAGCCATGCATTTTACAAGTGAAGAGGCGAGCAGGGAAGCCAGTTACTCAAGGTCACAGGTAGCCTGAATCCAATTTCTAATTCTTAACACTGTAATTAATATTCATGTACTACCCCAGTGTGGCTGTGACATGACTGTGAGAGGACATCTGCAGGACAGGACAGTCAGGGCCACTGCCAGAAAACAATCTGAGAAGACAGGAAGGAAATTAGTTCAGACTTTCAGAAAAAACGTTACAGTGAGTGCCCTGAGAGGTTCCCTTCAACAATACTCTAATTACCTTTGTTTTAAAAATACTCTCAGACATCTTCCATGTAAGTTTGAGTTTGAAATAACCAGTCTGCTGATGTAGAAACACACAGTATTCATGAAACTAAACTTATTAAGTATCAAGGTTCTCTTTGGAATTATTTTCAGTTATAAACAAATGACTCAACCAACCAGCACCGGCTGTCGGAGTTCCAACAGGTAGGCAGGTAGGTTACCTACCTACTGCAGGGGCATCATACTCATCACCAAGCAGGATTTCCGGAGCAGAGTATGCAAGAGATCCACAGCTTGTCGTGAGCTTCTTCCCTGGCTGAAATTTGTTGCTGAAGCCAAAGTCTGTCAACTTCACGAGACCTTGTTTTTCAAAAAAGACTACATTTTCTGGTTTTAAGTCTCTGTGAACCACATGGAGTTTATGGCAGTAAGATATAGCATGAACTATTTGAGCAAAATACTTCTTGGCCAAGTCTTCATTAAGACCCTCCTCGTGTTTCATTATGTAGTCAAACATATCTCCTCCGTCTCCAAGTTCTAGAATGAGATACAGTTTGGTCTGGGTGTCTATGACTTCATAAAGACGAACGATGTTCGGGTGCTGCACCAGCTTCATGCACCTCACTTCCTGGAACAGATGGCCAGTGGCTAGCGTGTCGAGCTTCGTCTTGTCAATCACTTTCACTGCCACCTTCTCACCTGTGAAGACATGCCTGGCAAGCTTAACTACCGCAAAATGACCTCGGCCTAAGGTTTTATCCAGATCATATAATCCAGCAATTTTTCCATCATATCCTCGCTTGAACCCTGCCATGCTGGTGCAACAGAGGGGAAAATAATTAAAGTGCTTGAAGTGGGTCTTCTCATATGAGTGTATCTGCTGGAGACAAGGCCTTCATTATCAGCACAGCAATGGATACCTGTAAAACAAGAGAGACAATCAACACAGGGATTTTCTTTCTAATTTTTATTTGTTTTATTTTGAGAGCCTTAAGTTGACTGAGATACAAATGAGTCAAGGTCATTATTAAAAACCTATTTATATTCTTAGAGTTTACAATTCGAAATAGAGGTTGAGAAGTTAAGTGCCACACTCTACAAACAAGCAGTAGCAGCTCTCTGGAAGCATTTTTGGTGGGAGGGGGAGCATCAGAAATAAAATGACAAGTTTGATAAGCTATGCTTAAACAATAAATATTTTCCAAAAGTAAAATTCCATCTGTCTTTAGAAAACATGGTAAAAGTTCACAAGAAAGGAGGAAAGTACATAACCAGAAACCCAGCAACCACTTCCTGTCATCCAAAGTCTAACTATACTTGCAGAAGGTGCATGAAGGCCGCTTTGGCACAGCCTTCTCTTACCCTCTGTTCATGCATCCCCAAGTGATAACATGTAATCTGTGACTATCTAAAGGTTCCTAAAGACCATTTTCTCCATCTTCCCAAATTTCAATCAATACTGATACCAAGAGGGCAACCAAAACTGCCTTACTACATTTGAAATGCAATTTCTTTCCCAAAATGTTGACCAAGCAACTATCTGCTTCGTGACTGCAGGAATTAGACAGTCCTTGGACATAGCAGGTACTTAATAAATAGTTCTGACTGGAGACCACTCACTCTTTGTCTCCACTACCATGAGAGTGTTCTAACTTTCACAAAAAAAAAAAAATGCCATGGCTGATCACTTTGCCAGAGTACACAGGCATGCGCTCTTATAGATCATTAAGTGACAAAAAGTGTTTGGTTTTAGAAGCCATATTTCATATCACACTTAAAATCTTCAACCTATAAACCTCTTAACATAGAAATATGTTCTTATAAATGACCTTGACTCAGGGAAAACAAGTATATAAAATTATAGCAGTTAAAATATCTCACTTTAAATCCCAAAAGCTGAACAGCCACTCTAAGAAATGAGTATCAGAGCCCAGTGAAGACTGTCTGACCTCCCAGACAAGTCGAGGCCTATTAATGTGCACACACTACTTTGCTGAAGCCGTTTCTCACATTCCTAGCTGTGTGCTACAAAAGCAGACAGACACACACACTATCTGTGCTATTTAATGATGGAGGTGTGTTTAACCTCAAACTAAAACTTAGGGACACTAGGGCAGTAGTGCACTAAAACACTAGTGTCACATTCCTTTATATTTCGCTGTTATTTCAAAGATCAGAAGAAAAGCCCACACGTACTAAAATCCTACCACAGACATTCACAGAGATGAGACTATATTATGTCATTGGATATAAGGTCAGATTGTCTCATTTGAAAGCCAAGGAAATTCTACATACAAATGGCAGGTGCTATTAAAGCTAAAATTCAACATAACTCAGATTTCAAAGCCCATATTGGAGATCAGTCTCAAAATCTAGCATTGGACAGGTACTCTGCCACTGAGCTACATTTTCAACCTTCAAGGCCCACTCTTGACAAATCTGACACTGGAGTAACATTATACTTGGGACACTGAAACTGTAAGAATTTCAATGCAACTATGAAAATGATGCATGGAATCATTATCGTATTAACATCAATTCCAATATTACCCAAATCACTCACTCAGGACAACCTCAAAACTTCACATACAATAAACTTAATAGGATAACAGTAACATGTTCACTACTATTTCACATTTTAGAAGCCACTGTGATCACATTCAGCACTACCATTCTGAACGTGCACTACACACCAGTCACACACCAAGCTTCACACAATCCTTTCCCAGTTTTCACAACTCCCTGTGGACAGGGACTACTCACCCCGTTTTGAGGGGGAGAAAAGTAAGTTGGCCTAGGCAGCAGGGCCAGGATAAGGAAGAGCTGGATTCAACTCCAGGGCATCTGACACCTGCCAATGCTAACAACCTGTTGTGCTCATGTCTCTCTGCAAATTGACAGAACAAAACTGAGTTAGTTCTGTGTCTACTAAGATTTGCAATTAATAAACTAGTATAGGAGCTTGAGAAATGGCTCAACAGTTAAGAGTGCTTACTGCTCTTGCAGAGGACCTGGGTTCAATTTCCAAAACCAGTGTTAACTCCACTTCCAGGGGATCTGACACCCTATTCTGGACTTCATGGGCACCTGTACTCAAGAGCAAAGACAGATGAGAGAGGAGAGAGAGAGACAGAGACAGAGACAGAGAGACAGAGACAGAGAGAGAGACAGAGAGAGAGACAGAGAGAGAGACAGAGAGAGCGCTGACCAACAGACAGGCACACACAAAATAAAATACTATTTATTTATATAGTCTAAGAGTGCTCTGTCTGCACATTACCTGCAGGCCAGAAGAGGGCACCAGATCTCATTACAGATGGCTGTGAGCTACCATGTGGTTGCTGGGAATTGAACTCAGGTCCTCTGGAAGAACAGCCAGTGGTCTTTACTGCTGTGCCATTTCTACAGCCCATAAAATCTTTTTTAAAAAAGAAACTAGTATGAAAGAAAAAAAAGTCAGAAAAAGGGTCAATTTCTTCTGTACTCTGTATTATCCTGGTTCATCTGAACTAATAATTTCAATGACCAGCATAAAGAGGGACGTCTAAATTGAAGTGCTTCTGCATTTGGACAGCAGGTCCCCTACAGAAACTTTAATTCTTACGTATTAGGCCAGAGACTCTGTTTAACGTCAATTAACTCTGCAGGTTCAACCTGTCTAAGTATATGCTGCAATTTTTGCAAATTCAACTTTCTTTCACCTGCAAACAGACTTCTTGGGCTGCCTGCCCCCCCCCCTTTTTGTTCATCTTTATTCTTTTCCTCTGTTACTTTTGTTTAGATGTATTTCTGGAAAGTGGCAAATAGATCAGACTAGATAAATGAATCTGAGGATATTTAAGGTGTTTTAAATTTGGGGCTGAGGAAATGGCTGAGTGTGTAGGTGCCTGTGCACAATCAGAATCCCCAGCACCCACGAGAGCTGGTCATGGTGGCTCTGATCTGTAACCCAGAATGCAAAGGCTGGGGACGGGGTGGGCAGAGAGCCAATGGATCCCTGAGCTCACACTCACTAGCCAGGCAGCCTCGCCAGACCAATGAGACACAGAGAGAGACTGTGTCTCAGAACATACGGTGGAGAGCAGTGAGACGCTCAGAGGTAAAGGTCTCTTGCTTGACAACCTGAGTTCTATCTTTAGAATCCACATGATAAAAATAAAGAACAGACTCCCAGAAATTGTCCTCTGACCTTCACAAGAGACAGCTGTGGAATGCACACACGTGTGCGCACACACTGAGTAAGTAAATAATTAAGTTTAGGGGATCAGGTGGATAATGATCAAGGAAGACACTAATGATAATATCTGGCCTTCACAGATGCATACAGCGAACATGTACATGTATACACACAACATACAAATTGCTGTGTGATCTCTGAGAATCTCAGTGCCTCTCCATGCCAGGCACTATGGTAGTGTTGAAAGGTAGCTGTGAGAGGTGCAGGTGAGTCTGTACTGGCTCAGGGACACACCTTGCAAACTGCATGCCTAATCACTCTGTCACCACTATTTGTTAGCTGTGTCTCCTAAAGGAAAATACAGAAAATGACTTCAGTGCATTCTATGTGTTTCAATTTTGCTAAGAGTAAAACTGTGTCTCCTAGGACAGGACCAACCTGAAACCAGCAAATCTGCTCACAGTGGCCCAGTCTCCTCCTATTCTTTCTCCCCACTATTCATTTCCCCTTTCCCTCCCACTCCTGGAGGCTGAAGCTCATGCCAGGCAAGTTTTCTGTCACTAAGTCCCAGCCCCAGCTCTAGCTTGAATCACAGCTTTAAGGAAAGAGTGGCGATGAGCACCAAGAACACTAGCCATTTTCTAAAGACCTCCTGGGTAAAAGGTCCTGAATCTGCATCTGCTGAATCCTGACTGTGCACTTGCAAAGTAGGCACAACAAAGCTCAACTTGTCTGAGTCATCTCTGACTAGGATCCTGCTTAGCCTGCCTATAAAATCCATGCCACCTCCAGCAGCCCCTAGACAAGCTCACCAAGCTCCCACGACAGCAGCTGAGGAGAGGAACCTGCACAAGACACTCTTCTAAGCAAGGCAGAAATGCACTGTGATGCCAGCAACAGGCAGCACACCAAACATCGTGCATGTCTGCTACCAGACAGTAAACAGAACAATCACTATGAGCAAAGCGGCTATACTGTTGCCAGTGGTGAAGGGCCTTTCCTGAGGGGGCTCACAGGCTTTTCACAAACCTGAAACACCGCACGGGTGAGTGAAAAGCCTGAATATTCCTGGAAGGCCAAGACAACTCATACCCCACACTGAAATGTCTGGGCAACCAGTAAGCCCATGTTCAGGTACTCCTGAGAGAGAGAGAACACAAAGATGACATTTGGGTATAAGGGTATGTCTACTGCTGGAGTAAGAGCAACGAGCACCATGTGAACAGCACCTCACAGCTTTGGGCAGTGTCTGGCTTACTGACAGGTAAACCTCAGCCAGCCAGCCTGCCAGCCTGCCAGCCTGCCTGCCTGCCTGACCCTTTATCCCCAAGTAGGACACTGCAGCTCCTCCCACTAGCCCTGTCAGTTTCTCTCTCCAACAGTCATTCACAGTTTCTGTGGCAAGGCAGCATTGTAGTCAGTGGTTAAGCACAGGTTCTGAAAGCTATCCGATATGAATCCAGACCACCAATCACAAGCCACAGGCCCTCAGCAAGTTACCTGACCTTTCTGTACAGTTAATTTCCTCAGTAGACAACATTAGTAACAAGAACATAGCCCTGTCTGTAAGCTCAGCACTCAGAAGGCGGAGGAAGAAGGACTGAGAGTTTGAGACCAGCCTGCTTTGTAAAAATACCACCATGTTTCATCCCCAAACCAAACTAAATCAAACACACAAACTTTAAAGGCTGTGAAGGGGGCTGGAGAGACGGCTCAGCAATTAAGAGCTCTTACTGCCTTTGC